CGTCCGAGCAGAGGCCTGGGATTTTTAAGGGTTCAGAGCTTTAGGTGTGTATTCCTTCTTTGGGCACGCGCACATAGCGAAGTCGCTGTGTTTTGTGTCCCGGCTGACATGTGACTGAGTCCATGAGAGAGATCGAGAGAGAGAGAGAGAGAGGGTTTGGAGTTTATGGCTGTAGGGTGCTTCCGAATTAGGGTCAGGATTTATAAGGAGGGCTTGAAGATTTGGGGCTTCGGCAGCCCATTCAACGACAACATCTGCTACTACTACCACTGCTCCTGCTACTACTTTCGCACCTCCTGGTGGTGCTGCTGCTACTACTTACTTCTACTACTACTACGACAAAAAACTACTACTACTACGACTACTACTACTACTACTACTACTACTACTAAGACGACGACGACGACGACTTCTACTACTACTACTACTACTACTACTACTACTACTACTACGACTACTTCTAGGGTCTACTACTACTACCACTACTACTACTACTACTACCACCACCACCACCACCACCACCACCACCACCACCACCACTACTACTACTACTGCTAGGGTCTACTACTACTACTACTACTACTACTCCTACTACTACTACTATTACTACTACTACTACTACTACTACCACTACTACTACTACTACTACTACTACTACTACTGCTAGGGTCTATTACTACTACTACTACTACTACTACTCCTACTACTGCTACTACTACTACTACTACTGCTACTGCTTCTGATACTGCCACTGCTACTGCTACTGCTCCTGCTCCTGCTCCTGCTCCTGCTACTTCTACTGCTACTGCTACTGCTACTGCTGCTGCTACTCTTACTGCTACTGCTGCTACTACTGCTGCTGCTGCTGCTGCTGCTGCTACTGCTACTGCTACTACTACTACTACTACTACCACTACTACTGCTTGTAAGGTCTACTACTACTACTACTACTACTACTACGACTACTACCACTACCACCTCTACCACCTCTACCACCTCTACCACCTCTAGTACCTCTACTACTTCTGCTACCTATACTACCTCTACTACCTCTTCTACCTCTACTACCTCTACTACGTCTACTACTTGTACTTGTGGGATGTGTTGTCTCTTCGGTTTTTGGATGTTCTGGGGAACGTACAAGCTAGATGTTTGAGGGTTCCGGCTCTTCGGCCCCTGAAGCCTGCAACACTTCTTTCACAAATGGCCATGGCTCAATCGATGCCAGTTTGAGCATCAGGTCTAGGTCGACGATCCCAGTGCCCCAACTCTTTCTCAGCCATGGACAGCCCTCGATCTCCGCTTCCTATAGGGGCGCCGGTGGAGCCACCCGAGGATGCCCCAAGAGCAATGTCCGGTGCGAGCTTCTATCGCGTCAACAGCGATTCTACGCTGGAGCAGCTGCAGAAGCAGATGCAAGAGAAGGCTATGGCAAGTGGGTCAATGCCGACCTCCGAGCATCTCGACCGCATCGCGCCAGACCCTGGTCCATTGCCGATGCCGCAGAGGGCGACAGGGGCGACAGGTACAGAGTCCCTTCCAATCCAGAGCCGTCCATCCATGAGGACCTTGCATTCTGCACTCGACAACGAAGTGTTGGGGCGATTGGTTTCGGCTGCAGAGACAGGGAGCAAGGATGAGGTGCCTCTCGGCCACGACCAGTGCCGTCAGGCTTGTATCGATCGGCTTTGCATCATCCTTCTCCTGCCCATTGGTGTAGTCCTACATGGCCAACCCCGGTGGGTCGCAAGTGTGCGCGTTGCTGCGGTGCTGATGGGCACAGTGCTGTGGACAGCGTGTGTGTACACGATGATCACTGGAGGCAACACCGGGTGGCAAATGGGCAGCTGCTTGCTGCACGTGTTGGAAGCTACAGCGAACCTGATCCTCTTGTTGCAGAAAGCTTTCAGCAGCAGCTTCAAAGAGTTGAATGCACATGTGAAGGATGCCATGCGGTCCCAAAACATGGGTCCAGCCCAAAAGTCGGCCATCAAATGGCACATCCTTGTGATCACGGCAAGCCTCGCCTGCTGGATGATTTGCCACGTCGCGAAGGTCCGACTTGTGGCCATGGGCGGTGGGCAGATGACATGGCAAGTCGTCGCGTTGCCTTGCCTCCAATGCCTTTATCGTGCGGGTTGGGTTTTATGGCTACTGCGTTTGAACGAGTTTGTCAACGAGCTCGTGGATGCGTTCTGCCGCAGCTGCGCGAGTAACCCTGAAGGTGTGGACTTAGCCTACGTTCACTGGGCTCGCATCTCTGCTTTCACCGGCCAGATCACCGAACATTGTCAAAAAGTATATGGAGTCATGTCTGTGACTGCGTTGATGGGTGGAGTTGCCCCCATTGCAGAGATCTTCATGCCAACCAGCTCCCCGCAGAGCACAGACTGGATGTTGCCACAGCTGATAGCGAGCGTCGTGGTGATCTGCTTGACGACGTATGCCTGGGGAAGTGCTGCCATGGTCAGTGAAAAGTCGAAGAAAGCAGCCTCCTTGGTGAATTCCTTGCAGGGTTGCTTAGCTGGGCACGCGAGGGCTGAGATTAGGCGGCTGGTCGGCTACATGGAGAGCAGTCACTCTGGCATCTTTTTCGGGGGATCCAAGGTCGATCTTCGCTGGTACTCTAGGCTGCGGTACGTGACCTTCAGTGCCTCGGTCTTCCTTGCCGTACGCTTCCAGAGCCTGCCGGAGGAAAACCAAGCCCTTCTGGCAGAACAGTGGGGTCGTTTCCTGCATGCTTTGGCCGTGTGGGACAGGTCGACAGGCCATCATAATTAACTGGCTGGGGAACCCGGAAAACCACTACTGCCTGACAACAGGTGCTTTCTAAAGTGGTGTTCTCGTGCACTCGTACAGAATGGGTTCCGAGCCGCAGCTACAGGTGGTCGAGGTGAGCATCCCAACACTTGCCCTAAGCCACATTTCCAGCCTAGGGCTTGTTTTTGTTTGAGATTTAGGGCCTATTAAGGGTTATAGGGTCGACCGTAGGACTTCAAGCCTCAAGATTGCACATGCCATGTGGGCAGCCGCAGGTGTGATTAGACCGCCTTTATATCAGGCTTCTCGGGCAAATGCTAATTCTTGCCTGAAGCCCCTTTCGACACTTTTTATACACCTTCTCAGCCTTTGTTTTGACTGATGTTGTTGGTGTTGTCCCCGAACCGCAGCAGCAGCAGTTCGCTTTGTGCTGCTCTTCTTCTGATTGGTAATGTACTCTTTGATGTTTCTTAGCAGTTGATAGACCTCAATCGTACGACCACTTATAGTGTTACTGCTGTTGTTGTATTTCCGTTCTTCTTCCAAAGTGCTTTTTCCATATCCTCGACAAGTCCTCGCGGCCAACAGCCGCTATATGTCTT